CCACCGATGTCGTTACCCCAGGCTGCACCAATCTCCGGAGCCTGCTTCGTCCGCTGCGGACACGGCCGCATCGTCAGGCGACGTTTTGAAGGCTTGTTCTTGTTTAGTTGGGTTTTCGCAGGAGCTCAAGCGCAAATATGAGGAGGCGTGCCTGGAAATCTTCGGCCACGAGCCTCTGCTTAGAGTGGGACAGCTGAGAAATTGACGATACAGCTTTGACAAGCTGCATCGTCATTTTCCAAGAATTGAAATTGAAAAGTGTCAGTTTCAGCGAAACTGCACTTTACAATTTCATCTTGAGTTGTGCCCTGTGCCACCTAGGGCCCAATCGAGGTGGAGGACGAGCTGGAGCCCACAGCGGCGCTGCTCGACCGGGACCGCCTGCATGTGGACCCTGCTGCACACTGCACGTGGCGTGCTTGCTAGCGCATCACAGCCATTTTTGTACGGCTGTTTGCAGCCATACATGCGTGGCAGGACCCAGCTGCAAAGGCGGCCAAGAAGGTTTTGGTCGCTCCGGATGCCAAGGCCGTCAAGGCCCCCAACGCTGCCGCCCACGGCCGCCGACCTCAAGCCTGCAAAGGCGCCCAAGAAGGCTGCCAAGGCCAAGGTTCAGAGGAGACCAGCGGGTCTTCGCGAGAAGGATGAGGCCCAAGACCCCAGCCGCACTGGAGGTCTGGGACGTCATCGTGCATGTCTGGTGCGAGCGGCTGGCCTGAAAGTACTGTTCATGGTGAGTTCGCCACATGTGCCTCATTGATGCGTTCCGCATCTCAGGAAAATCGCCCCGAGCCTGCAGTTCAAGCGCGACATGAAGTCGCAGTACCAGTGGTGGGACACAGCCCACGCCAAGGTGCGCAGCATGGCAGGGGCGCACAGCCACGGCAACACTCCTCATGCTGGCACCGGTGTTTCTGACCGGGTTTGACCCGGTTGAGTAGCCATCCGGGCGCTTTTAAACAGGCTGAGGCGCAGTGCCGAGCACATCCAGCAGCAGTGCAAATCCACCACACCATCTCAAGCCACAATCTCAACAGCATAGGCAGATGCCAGACATCAAGCAGACCTGCAAACAAGCAAGCCGCCACACTTTACCCAAGCTCACAAACAAACGAGCGCCAGCCAGGGGGGGAGAAGAACCAGCTAGAGCGAAGAGAAAAACCGCACGCGCAAGACAACTCACGCACGCACGCAGCAAACTGTACCCCAGCAATCTGCCGGTCTTGTCGCAGCCTGTTTTTTTGCTCGCGCTCCGGATCGATATCCGGTCTATAGCCAGCATATGATGCTGGTACGATGATTGAGCCAAAAATGCATGGACCGTGGGGACCCAGCCAGTTGGTCCTGCAATTCAAGTACCAATTGGGGAACCACACATCTTTCACACGCTAGCTTTGCTGGACCTTCTGCTGTTTCTCCAACAGAGTACTTTGCACCTTGCGCTTGCCTTCCTGCTCATGCATGTGCGTTGGGTTGTTGCGTCGCCTGTCAGGTACCAATGTGCTGAACACGAACTTTGCGACTGATGGTGCCTCCCCGCCCGTGCTTGAGTGCTTTCACACGCGCATTGCGACTGCCTAGCTTGTGCTTGTGGGCCGAGACAGTTGGGCTTGCAACCTGACCTAGCCGGATCGGTTTGCGTTAATTTGTTTGTGGCGCGTTGGGCGCTAGCCTCAAACACATGTTGACAGGGCGATTGAATTGAAAATGAATTGCTATCTCTGGAAAATGTTTCACCTTGATCCTAGGCTTATGCGCACGCTGGTGGAGTCTGCGTTGCAAGGCAATGTGCCAAAGCTGGCGATCCTTTGCATTCTCCTGCTGCCCAGCCCTGAGAAACAATTTAATAACTGGATATGGAACGCTGAAGTGCCTGTGAGTCCGAAGTACGACGCTTGCGAGTTTTTCTCGGGGAAAGGAGCTGTCAAGGACGCATGGTGGTTTCATTTCAGTTGGTTTCAACATGCATCACTGCGTAGGACGCTCTCAGGCGGGAGTGCTTCAGGGTGAGCGCCCATGATTGGGAGCTTCACCGCTCAATGGACATTTGCAGCCCTGCGGGCATGGCGCCCACGCCTTGGTGTGTCTGTTGCTGGGTTTGTCTGATTGTTGGCTAATCTTTTTGGCTTAGGCTACTCTTGCGCACTTTGATGTGCCTGGACCCAGATGGACCCCGGCCGTGCACCTACTTGTCTTGCTTCTGAAAGCTTGCCTGTGGCTCAGGTTTGCGCTTTTTGCGCCTGTTTGTGGTACCTGGGCATGGATATCAAGAAGCTCCACGGGCCGGCGCGCGTTTCTAAGCATGCTCGCTCGCTGTGCTCCCTTTTGAACGCTCTTCCCAACCCAGGACCATAGACTCCTTTGCCTGAGATGCCTTTCCTGCGCAGAACCTTTCGTGGCTCTTGGGTGCTTGAGCAGCCAGCCACCTCGATGATGTTTGCTCACCCTAGGGCGCCCGCAGACCACTACAAGGTGAATGTGTATCTTGGGGCCTACCTCCACTGGACTTCCAAGCTTACCAGCTTTTGGTCAAACCGGCTTCTTGCTTGCGTTAATGGAGCTGCCGATGAAATGCGCGCGTTCAGATGTGCTTAGGATGGCCGGTCTTTACCGCAAGTTCACAAATGAGCGCAAGGCTATGATGCTGGAGCGCCGCGAAGAGCTTAAGAAGGCCCCTCCTACATTTCGCAACGCGAACTGGCACGTTTGTGGCACGCGCGCGCTTCATGAAACACAGCACTTTGGCTTCAAAACAATTTGGTGGCGGTGCTTGTTTTGGCTGTTGCTGGCAGCTTGACATTTGAGCGTGCTTCATCAACCTAAGGGAGTACCCTAGCGAACTGGGGTCGGCTATTGCCTGGCTGGTGTGTGATCATGAAAACCGCGATGATGCACCACTGCCGAACTACCGCCCCAATGATGTGTTCGATTACCACTCAGGGTGCTCCCATGCAAATTGTTCACACACCGCATTCTACGCGAACCATCCTTTGATCCAGGTACAAAGCCTTTTACAAGGACCACGTCCTTGACCTCGGGGGCAAAGCTATGGCCAGTGCTGGTCTATCTGAGCCGGAGCCGCACGCTTCGCGTCCCAAAAGGCGGATGGCGAAAGCTGCTTAAGGACATGGGCTTACGCTCTGACCTTTGAGATTGGGGGTGAAAAACTTACTCTCGAGCGTGCCGCGTGATATTGCAGATGTGTCAGTAACGCCTTACTGAGTACATCTGCAAACATACGCGACATGCGCACTTGCAAAGCTTGCGAGTGTGGATTTGTACGGTTTTGTACGGTTTTGTACGGGTTTTGTACGGTTTTGTACGGGTTTTGTACGGGTTTTGTACGGGCCACGCACGATAAAGAACGTCAACTAAAACTAAAGCTAAATAGTGTGACCATATTGGCTTTGTACGGTTTTGTACGGTTTTGTACGGTTTTTGTACGGTTTTTGTACGGGTTTGTACGTCTTTTGCTCTGCTGGTGCATCTTACGGAGATGTTTTGATGGGCAAACCCTTGGATCGGATTGGGATCTTGCGTTGCATTAAACAAGAAAGAAATATCAGTTTTTTCTTGGAACAATCCCACCCGTACAAAAACCGTACAAAAACCGTACAAACCCGTACCCCCTTTACTAAACATGCTTTTGGGCACCCGTACGCAACCCGTACAAAACCGTACCCTCCAAATCGTCCGAGATTTTGGCTTCCCAGCGCTGATGGCCCCCCAGCTGTCGGGCTGCCGGCGTTTGGACCGCGAGCTTCAAATGTCTCAGGCAAAAGAGTTCCCTGCCAAAATTTGATGTCTCAATTTGAGCTGGCAGGCACGCTTCTTCGAGGCCAAGCTTGAGCTTCAGCAGGCACGTTTGTGGTTTGCTTAATCGGCGCTGTTTCAGTTGCCCCCATTAAGACGAAGGAGAACATATGGGCATCCTTCCTAGCGCACGTGAGTCATCACGAGCATTTTTCACAAGTAAAACCAAGTTTTACTTGTGAAATTCCTTGCTCAGGCTGAGAGCCCCCAGACTATCCCAGGCCTGCTACAATCAGTGTTTGGCCAGCATCCCCAGCATCCGCAGATACGAGTGCCTCCTGAAAACATCTTCGCGGACCCTTTGCCGGCTGAAGTGACGCCTGCTGAGACCAAGACGCTGGAGGCCTGCGTTAATAGCGTGTGCGTCAGTTTACGCATGTCCCAAATTCAAGGTTCAAATCAAACCAGATTCGAACCTTGAATTCCAACACAGTTCATGCAAAACCCTGTCATGATAAATGTGACACATGCGCACGCGCAGGACTTGCAGTTGGAAAAGGAGATGGCCGCGGAGCTTGATCGTCTAGATCGCGAAGAGGAGGAGCAGAAAAAAGCAAGCAGCTGAACAACCGCAAAAGCGCAGCGCGGCAAAGTCAAAAGCAAAAACGAAGGCAGCGCCAAAGCGCAAAGCAGCAGCAAAGCCACAGGAAACAAAACAGGATGAGGAAGAACAGGAGCTTCGCAAACTGATGCAGGAACAGGAGGAGTTGAAAGCGCAACTTCAGCAGGAACAGCAAAGAGGCGAAAGGAAACGCAAACTGCGCGAGGAAAACGCCAAGCTCGCGCAACAGTTGCAAGCTATGAAGGCCCAGGCTAAGAGCCTGGACACGTCAGCTGGCACACGCCAGAAACTGCGCGTGGCGCCTTAGGAGTGGCTGCTGGCGTAGTCTGTGCTGGGGAGGGCGTGCACGGGGAGACAGTGGTCTGCTGCGACTGAGGCCTCGGCCCCGTCGTTTGCGACGCCTTCCCAACCTGCAGCGCCAGCCCCAGACAAGGCCTCAGCCTCTGATAGGTCTTCCTCAGCGCCTGCCACCACGCCAGTGCCTGCCACACAGCCGGAACAGCCCAGCGACCACACCGTCCGCAGCCCCGACGACGGCCACAGCTGAGACAGCTGAGAACGCCGAGGAGGCGCTATGCGCAGTGTTAATCATACTCTGTGCCACGCAACCTGCGCTAGCGCGCAGGAGCGTGGCACGGCGGCAGCTTTGCAAAGCCTCCGCCGCGCTTGCAGAAACCCGGGCAGAGCCACCTATGAGATGGTTGCCGCTTTCAGGTCCAAAGGCAACCCCCGAAAGGAGTTGCTGCGCAAGTGGATCGCGTCTGGTGAGTGCGTCACAAAGTGCACCATCTCCATCATCAAGGAGAGCCGGCATGATGAGCCCACGCCCTAGCAGCAGTGCCAGTCCGTCACCCATGTTGCCTGTTCTCTGGCATTCTTTTGCCCAGGACATCCGAGATGCTGTCGGGGTGGCTCACCGATGAGCAGCTAATCTGTAGCCTCCGCTGGCGGGATTGCACCTCCAGGCCCCTCGGCTCGGGAGCTGAGTTTTCGGAGATCCCTGTGCACCACCTTTTCCGGCCACCCCTCCAAGCCAAACCTTGCCCCTCGGCGGAGGGGTACCTTTTCGCTCCAGGCTATCTCGTTGACCCTGTAGAAGCCCCTGCTTTCGATCGGCTTAACCCTGATCCTACCCATATCGACCTTGATTTCCGGCGGGTCACCCGCCGGCCCGGTCCGGGCCTGTGGTCCTGCTTCTCGATGTCCCAGAAATCCATCAGCTCCACGTTGGCCGGCACTCCCAAGACTTGAAACACCTTCGTCGCAAGACGGTCCTTCAGCGGCTCCGGCCACTTTTTTGGTCAGCGCATCGATGGCCATGAAGGTAGGGCTTGCCGCCGAAGGCCTTCATGTCTGCCAGGTCCACCTGCAGCTCCGCCAGAGGCGCGAAGCTGTTGTAGCCTCTCTGCGGTCGGGCTGCCGAAGCCTGTGCGGCTTGTAGACGGCCTTAATGGTTCGGGCGTCAGCCATGTTTCTATGGGTTCTTCGGCCCCCGCTGGGCCTGCCAGGCTTCACCTCGTCCAGCCGGCCCTGGAAGCCCTTGCGCAACCCCAGAGCACGCTGGTGAGGTGCGAGTAGTCGAGCGTGATCATCTTGGTGCCGTCGCTCCACCTGCAGCGCACTTCGTTCCTGCGAAGTCGTTTGCAGGTCCTCGTTCATGTCCGGGCGTTTGTACTGCTTGGCCTCCACGGAGTCGAACCAGCTGCTGCAGCCCGACAAATTCTCGTGTTGCAGACCACGTTGCCCGATCGCGAGGCAGCCGGGGTTCCTCTGGTTCGTGGTCAAGGACAGCTGCGTCGAGAGGCTCTTCGTCTGCACCAGCGCCTCGTCGTAGATCATGATGAGCTCGCACTGGTGCGTCCCACCGCCCCGCTCCAGGAAGACCCTCGCGCTCTGGTTGCCCAGCAGCCGCAGCTCCGGGCCGCTGTCGGAGGCCGCGCTGTTGTTGGACACTTGCAGCTTGCTCCAGCCCGCCCAGTTCTTCGTCAAGAAGAGATCGTCCGAGAAGTCGGAGGTGTTGGTCACGTGTTGGACGCGAAGAGCCGTGCCCAGCCGGTACCGGCAGCCGAAGGAGTAGCGTCTTCCCGGCGTCAGGGTGTAGGTGCGCACAATGTTCCAGGCGCTCAGGGTCATGGCGTAGCCCTCCAAGCTGGAAGCCTCCCACCGTGAAGCCACGCTCTGGCTGTTGGAGCGCACCAGAAAATTGCCTAACGTGGTGAGCGTGGGCTCCAGCAGCACCTCTCCCAGGGTGGCCAGCGTGACGTCGTCGGCCCCTCCGTCAAGGAACTCGTGCTTCAGCAGCAGGGCTGAGGCCGTCGTGTCTGCCTCGACCTCCGTGTTGCCTGCCTCCAGGGTTGCGTCCAGGATCTGGAGGCCGTAGACGTCCACCGTTCCAGCCGTCTGGTTGGGCAGGCCCGGTGCCTGGAAGTGCGCCCCAAAATGCAGCTTCGCAACTCTGTTCGGAGGCACTCACGAAGCTGCCGTACAGGGGGTCGTAGACGTTGTCGGCCTCGGACATGTACACCACGAAGTTGGAGGCCGTGCCGAGCCGGTACCGGCAGGCGAAGAGGAGCTCTCGGCCTGGCGTCAAGTCAAATCTTTGCTTCAGCTTGCCGAAGAGTTTCATCCGCGTCAAAGGCGGCTTCTCGCCTCTTGTGATGCGCATGTCGCTCGCATCAACGCCAAGAAGCGCACTGTGTTGCTCAAGCACACCTTGCAGTCAGTCGGTTATCAGGCCACGGCCATCGTGGACGAACTTGCTGCAAGGGTTTCCGTTGTTTGGCTGGCTGCCTGAGTCGTTGGAGCTGCCCAGGCACCCACAACCACCTGCGGTGGACATTGCCTCCTTAGAGCGCATGGCCACGGCTTTGAAGGCCCGCGCCTTGGCAGCCTACGGATGATCAGGTGGCGGACCAGACCCTTTTTGACACTACTCTCACAGAGTTGCAGCAGGGTTGGCTCGAGGCCCTTCTTGGCGCCAGACGTGCCTAAGACTTCCGTCATCAGCCCTCGTTTCTATGTTTTGCAGTCTGACAAGTGCCGGCCCATTGACGACTTTACGTTCAATCTTTTGAACTCTGCCGTCGGTTCGGCCAACAAGGTCGTCTTGCATGACACAGATTTCATCGCTCGTACACACAAATGAACGAGTGTGCCCGGTGCGCCGGTGCAATTGCCAGCTGACGATAGGCGTCCTGAAGGTCGAAGGCGCGTCCACGCCAAGGCACCGCCGTGTAGCCGCAACACCTCTTGAGCAAAGCAGCCGCAGCATGGCCCGCGGTGCTACCGTATGCTGACCATGCCCTTTGGCAGCTCGGCCTCTGTTTACGCCTTTTTGCGCACGAGCCTAGCCATTCATGCACTTGGCACTCGCCTTTTTCGCCTGCCCTTGTTTCTACGACGATTTCCCGGCAGTGGTGCCCGAGCCGCTCACCTACGCTGCCACACACCTGATTCAATCCCTTTTCACCTTGCTGGGTTTTCAAGTCAGTGGCAAGCCTTCCAAGAACCCGCCTTTTGCAGCCGAGGTGGCAAACACTGAGCCAGAGTCCAAATCCTGGCTTCTAGCTTGCAAGAGCTTTTGACAAGCCCCTCTCGCCCAAGGAAGCTCGCAAGTTACGAGGCCGCATGCAGTTTGCCCATGGTCAATTATCGGGACGATACCACTCGACATCTTTGCATGAGCTTTCTGCCCTGGCACCGGGCTCTCGAGCCAAAGTCCCACGTTACACCAACCATTTGGAACAGTCTTTGGAGCGAGCTGCAGTTGTAAAATTTGCTCGCCGATATGCCGTTTCATTTCTCACGCATGTCTTGCGCATAGTTTGCCAATCATGCTTTTCTTCACACATGTATTCGTTTGCCGTTTCTGTCCGTTTGTGCCGCCTCAGGTCACTACACACGGTCGAGCACTCAGTTTACAGGGGGTGCGTGCGAGTTCTCGACATGGGGCGCTTGCCTGCCCTCACCCCCTTGGGCTGATGTTAAAACCCTCCTGGCCCTGTGCCTAAATTGGGAAGCAGTTCTGAGGTCCGTGTTTGTGTTGCTTACAAGGTTCCATTGATTGCCATTTGGCTCAAGTCACAAGTGAGGTTCAAGATCTTATGTGAAGCTGCGTTCATACGTGATCGGCAATTGAGAGCGGAAAACACTTCGCTTGCGCTGCATTTGTCAGGACCACTGTTGTAACTATTATTCCTTCTCCCTTACAACATTTACACGGGTTCGGCTATAACGGTTTGACCGTATACACCTTTCTACGTGGTTGGTATTACAGCTGGAGGGTTCGGTGGACAGCGTCCCACGGGACGTCACCTTGGACAATAACATGGTACAATGGCATCTTCAGCGAGCCCAAGTACTGCAACTTTTGGGAACAGCAGCTCAGAGGGATCCAATGGATTGATGGCTCTTCCTGCGGTGATGGATATGATCGCAGATTCACAGGATGAACCTGGGAGCGGAGGATCCGCGCTATTCAGCGACATATCCACTCCCACAAGATCATGGAAGCAGATCGATGTTCATCAGGAGTCGAAGCAAAGAGAATCCCCACCGAGAAGATCGTCATCTTCGCCTGCGACACCACGGACGTCGCAGAAGGGCGTGAGGTCAACATCGAAAGGTGGGAGGTCGAAATCACCCACCAGTGCTGATTTTCGCGCCGCGATTAAAGAAAAGAACAAGATGGAGATGGAGATCGGGGAATATCAAAAGACACTTGATGAAATGTCGGCAGCGATGGCGAATCTTCATCAAGAAGACTATGGGAGCACCATCCGGATCCAGGAGCTGGAGAGACGATGCGAGATTGCCAGCAAGCAGTCGGGACATCTTGTGAGTCACCACCAACACCACATGGCTGAGGCATGGCGCAAGTTTGAGGAGGAAGCCCAACAGATGCGCAAGGTGGAAATGAACGCATATCAGTACGGGGAAAAGAAAGACATGGAGTCGAATGTTATAATACAACAGATGAGACAAGCTGAAGGAACTATTATGGAGCAGAAGCGGGAGATTGCAGTGATGAAATCCTACATGGCAAGCGAGAAGTCGGCCGCGCAGGAATCAGCTATACATGCAAATCAGATACACCGTGAGGCTTCACAACAAATATCAGTTTATCAGCAACAGATCAGAGGTATTGAATCGTCTACATCTATCGAGAAGTTCAACGAGGAGGAGATGGTCCAAAGTCTAAAATCACAGTTGGAGAAGATGGAGAACTACACGGAGCAGTGACGGACCTCCAAAAGTTTTTCAATGGCATTCCACGATCCGCCTTAGCGAAACTCATGATAAGGTTCGGAATACCGGAATTTTTTGCACATAGCTGGATGAATCTCTTGAATTGCTTTAAAAGATCGGTGATAGTCGCAGGTGATTACAGTTTCCCACAAACATCAACGTGTGGGGTCCCAGAAGGGGACCCCCTGAGTGTCATTGCGGCGGTGCTTCTCGGGGCTCAGCTGCACCATGCAATCACAAGCGACATCCCTGCACAGCCGCTTGTCTATATAGACAACATCGAAATCATAGCCACCTCGGAGCAGGATCTCCATGACGCCACCCAAATTGCATTGGACTATTTCCATCAGTGGGGTTTCCTAATTGACCAGGATAAATCTTGGACATGGAGCACTGTGCCGACCAGGGATTTGCACCATGCCCCCATTTTCAAGCCTGCCCGCAGTGCCAAGAATCTAGGATGCTTCGTGAGATATAAAAAATCTACGCATCACGGCGATCTAGGCACCAGAATCCAAGAGGGCACGAGGCGGGCCGCAGTGCTCGCGGCTTTGCCCTATGAGCAGGAAGGGCGCATGAGTGCAA